TAAGAATACACTGGCAAAACTCTAAACAAGCTCAGGGCGTGTGGGGGGGGGCAGGGGGCGGGGGGAGGGAGGGGGGGATGGGGGGAACAGGGCATTTGCTGGGCTGTCTTGGGGGAGGTCAAAAAAATCAAGATGGTGGCCACCACCATGCAGTCAAAGCTCTGCTGTAATGAGAATGATTGGGAGACAGGAGGAAGAGCCGCAGCCTGAACAAGGGTCTGAGAAGAGAAATCTGAGTCCAAAGCAGAAATGAGGGGTGTGTGGGAAGCCTCTCAGACTTGACCCTCCCTAGTTCTCCAGAAGGTAAAGGCAGGGGAGGAGGGGAGCGCTTTCAGGCTTGCAAGATTCTGTTATTGCAACCTTCCAACAAAGGTAGTATCAGTATTCATGGTTTTGGTTTCCTTGTCTGGACACCCACTCTGTTTCTGCATGTGTTGCTTCTGCCCCAATCCCAGTTTAGGGAAAATCTAGGAAGAACTTGTAGAGGGCAGAGGGAATGGCCTGGAAGGACAGGAGGAATGGCCGCAACCAAGGCAACAGTCAGATAAAAGGGGTCTATGCCTGGGCCAAGAAAGTAGCCTGAGTAAACATCTCAGACAATCCCCTCCCTAGTTCACATGAAGATAAAGGGGGGGGCAGTACATTTAGACTTTTAAGATTCAATGACTACAGCTTTACAATAAAAATAGAACTGACCTACGTGGCATTGGTTTCCTAGTCTGGTCTGCCTTGAAGGGCTGACAGTCTAGACAAGGAAGGACATATTTTATGATCTGGGGACAGATTCAAAGCTAATTATACCCTTTGGAATGCAAAAACCTTCTTCACCTTCTTAAAAAAAATGCAAGGAGTGAGGAGGAGCCTGTCCCATCCCATCCTGCAGAATCCCCAGAAATGGCAATTTGCTTGACCAGATTTTTGGGCCTTCAGCTGCCTCCTAACAATTTACATTTTTGTTCTTCAGTGGTTGAAATATAGTTTGCAGGTCAACAAGGAGCACCTAGACCTTGAAGCAAAGGAGATCCTGCATTTGTCATCTCCTTTCTCCCCAAAAGAGGGTATTCCATGCCCCCAAATGAAATAATAGAATTATGTTTTTATGGGGAGAATAATAAGAACCATTAACATAAAAATGACTGCCGTCTTGCCAGATGACCAGACGTCATGAGATTTGGGGGTGAGGCTTTTGAAAGAGTTTGGATTATTTATCTGCCTGTTTACTTGTCAGATCATCGAGTCCTAGGGTAGGAAGGAACTTGAAGGCCTTTGTCCAACCCCTGCTCAGGGCAGGAATCCTCAGGCCATCCCAGACAAAGGGCTGTTGAACCTTTGCTTGGAAACCTCCAGTGATGGAGCTTCCATGACCCCAAGAGGCAGCATTTTATTTATCTCCTGCCTTTCCTCCAGGAGAAGTCTTGCCTGGAGAACCTCCTTTTGCATCCTCTCTAGTCCCCCAGGGAGCTTCCATGGCTGCAGGTGGACTAGAGTTAGGCCTCCCAGCTCCTGGTCCAGCATCTTCCTCACTACAACGCCCATCTTTCCAAGGAATTGAACCTACCTGCCCATCCATATCCTCATCCACTCTCCTTTACGGAAGTTTCCTACAAAAAGACCCTGTGTCATCAGTTGACGAGAAGAGCTGTTGGCTAAAACAGACAAAAAATATTTATTTGCTGTATGCATCTCTTTTGTACGCCAGAATAAGCAGGTAGTTGATTTCTTGCTCCTGAAGTCGCTCAGGGCAGTGTCCAGAGCACCCTTCTACAAGGGAGGCTGGATGGAGAGAGAAGGATTGGCCTAAGGCCACTGGGAGAGTGCCCATGGCTTGGGGGATTCTTGGGCATCTTGGCATGCGAAGGCTCCCCAAGGATGGCAGGAGGCTCCCTCGTGCCACCCCTGAATGTGGCAGCAGGGGGGTGGCTCGGGGACAGCCCATCCAGAGCAGCTCTGGGGATCAGCAGGCAGCATGTTTCCGACTCTCAGTTTTTAGGCGGTTGTTCCCCTCCAGGTTGGTTGGGGTACAACTCCCATCTTCTCCAGCCATCACCTGACGTGTGCCGTCTGGGGAGGATGGGAACTGCACCTCTGCATGGGAAAGGCTGCGCGGGCCCCGAGCCTTGAGTCAGCGCTGTCCTCCTTGGGATAGAAAGGGCTGCTGGCCAGTGCTCTGCAAACATGTACACCTGCAATTTATTTCACCCTGGTGCTTTAATTGATGTAAAGGTCTGTGACTGCAGTGAGTAAATGGTGGTTAATTAATTGCCTGGGGGAAAGTTGCCTTCCAATGATTTTTCAGAGGAGAAGAAAATGCTGGGGATTCTTTTGTCGTGGAGGGTGGCATCCGTGCCCTTATTTAGCAACTGGGTGACTGTGGTACAGTCCTCTCTTGTGGCTTCCCCAGCTTCTGTTCACCCCCAGGGCCAGCCAGCATCAGCTGCCACCCCTCCTTGGGGCTTTTTCCATCTGGGAAATGGAGGCAGCTCAGGGGGGTCCCAGGCAAAGGGAAGAGGTGAAGCAGGAAGAGACCGGGCAGCCACCACTTTTCTCCCTTAGGAAAACCAGTGCCGAAGCATCACCCACAGAAACCCTAAATCAATGTTCAGGTCCCTGAGAATACCGTACAAAAACATTGGCAAAGGGAAGAAAGTTGGGGGAACTGAAAAGACAAATTTCAGCACATTTCTCCTGCCCCAGAAATGCGGCACCAGGTTTAGCCAACTTCTATGTTTAAGAAGTTCGACGTTCCTGTTTTCCTTTCCTTTGAAAAATGCTATTGTTATCGCGGCTGCTTTAATGGGTATACTGTTTTACTGTAGATAGTTTCCACGGGTCCTATGCTTTTAGAAACAACAACAACACACACAAAAAAGCATTGAATATTCATGGTAAATAAATAAATAACGTTAGGACCAGCGTGCCAGATTTTGCTCTCTGGAGTTAAAAGTTTCCATTTGCCTCTTTTTAGAAATATCCCCCCAGGAAAGACATGGTGAGAGCTGTCTCCATCCAAACGGGATACCTGATCCAGGGGAAGGGAGCCAAGAACTGCAGCCTCACCTACCTAGCTCAGGTAGACCCCAGAGGTAAGATTTTGGCCCCCCGACGAAGGGGGCCATTGCACACATTCTGTCGAAGGCGCACGCCTTGGGCTCTGCTTCCGGGGATCCCTTCCTCCCTGGCTGCTGCTGTTGCAAATGTTTGTAACCCATCGATTGACGCCAGTTGACTTGATTCATTCCTGAAAGGGAAACATCTGTATTTTTAACAGCCCCAGGGCATACATAGATCAATACATCGCGGCTAAGAAGTCCACCGCGCTTGGGTTGGGGCGGATACTGAATCGCTTTCTGGCGATATTCGTAGCTTCTGGGGCTTCCAAACTCATCTGGCGACTCTGCAGCAGAAGTCATTACAATTGTTGGGGTGTATGCCTTGCTGAAAGAGTGGGGGTCCTTAATAGGGGGTTGTTGAACTGACGGGGGTCTCGTGTGTATCTCTGCATTGGCTTCTCATCTGAACGGTAGTCATGCCCCAAACCTTTTCCAAAGCGGTCTCAAAGAAGCAGAGGAAGAACAGAGCGTATAAAAAAGAATTATCCATTCAGACAAACATTTTCTTGTTTATCAGCTACAGTGTTTCTCAAACTCGGCCACTTTAAGAGGCGTGGACTTCAATTCCCAGAATTCCCCAGCCAGCCCTGTTTGAGAAACACTGGCCTAAAATGTTTAAACAAAACATGTGGAATTCTGCTGCAGTTGGTAAAATTGTAGACAGACACAAGACAAAATACATTATCTGCAAACGTTGCATTCAGGTTTCAGAATTCAAATGATTTGGGGGAGTCAAAAGAAGGAGAGGTCCACTTCTTTGGAGAAAATCCCCTCTTTTGCTTAGAAAATCCCCTCTTTCGCTTAGTCCCTTATTATATTATTTATTAAGTTGGCATTTCTGCCCCAACTTTCCTCCAGGAGCTCAAGATGGTGTATACATAGCCCCCCTTCTCTCATTTTTCCCTGGGGGTAGGTTGAGAGAGAGGAGGCCTGGCCCCAAATCCCCCCGTGGCGGCCACAACGGAAGAATGAAATGAGGCAAAATCTTAATTTTTCTGGCTGGCGGAGTGCAGCCCATCCTACGATAGGTCAGAAGTCCTATGATAGGTCAGAAGGTCAGAAAAGAAGCAAAACTCTTTTCTTGAGCGTTACGATCTGGATTGGGGCCTCCTTCATGTTTCAGATTCTGGGTGGGGGGCCCCGGGGTTGAAAGGTGGGGAGGTATGTGCGCGTGCCCAAAATTCCCAGGTGCAGATGTCCTCTTGCGTTTCCATTTTGCACATCATTTGGAACGGTGCACTTCGTAGGGCAAGAGCCGTGCCATGACGATCTTGATCTTCCCTACTGCAGGTTCTTTGCCAAAGTGGGTGGTGAATAAGTCTTCTCAGTTCCTGGCTCCAAAGGTAAGCCATGATCTCTTTTTCTCTGCTTTCTCCAGCTACCTGTGTCATCTTGTTTCCCAGTTACTTGGGGGCCAGGACTGGCTGGAGGTTCATTACCTATGGCTGGTAATAGGTGGAAAAGGGGCCTGGGTAGGAAATCCTTTACAAAGGCCTTCAGAACTGCACGGGTAGGAAAACGCACCGAAGGCATCTTTATCATCATCCATTGTTTATTCTATTTCAGATCCATTCAGTCACAGGCGTTCTCTGGGCAGATTAAAATTACTTAGTATTTGCGGGACCACCTGCCCCCCACTGTTTCTGCCTGCCCTGCCGTGTCTAGCAAGGAGACCATTCTTGGACTCCCCTCCGCCAAGCCATGCCATCTTGTTGGACCCTGGAGTTGTGCCTTCTCAGGGGCAGCGCCTGCCCTGTGGAACGGCATCCTCCAGAGATCCAGAGGGTCCCATAAGGCTCTGGAGACCAGGCTGTTCTTCCAAGTCAGCAGTTAGGCGATCGGTGCCGGTGATGTTTTGTTTTGAGGGTTATTGTTTAACTGGGCTGTCATGAGTTTATCCTGTTACAGTGGTTTTAATCTATGCACGCCGCCCAGAGCCATTGCTGTGACTTTATGAATCATTTAAATAAATAAACTTAAAAGATTAAACGCAAGAAAAATAATAGAAAATGTTAATATAATATAAAATCAGAGTATCTAATTTAGGAGTTAAAATAAAGATACACACTAGAAATGTTCCTAGGGGAAGAAGGATGACTTAACTCAATATTGAAAAGACATCAGGGTGGGCACCAGGCGGGTCTGTCCAGGAAGGGCATCGTACAGCTGTCTCTTGCAGCTTCTGCTCCTTGCCCTTGCCCAGGGCACCTGGAGGAGGACCTCCTCAGGATGACAGAAAAGCCCTGGGGATGGTGTTCCGTAGGGAATATTGGCCTCCTGGCCATTTATTTCTGTCTTGTGTGGGAATTCTCACAGTGCTTTGGAAGACCTCAGAAGCCCAGCCCCAGCCTGGCCCAGCAGCACAGCGCAAAGGGGCTTCTTGGCGTGAAGGGCCACGCCAGGTATGCCTCATCAGTGGTGGGAGCAAGAAGACGGTGAAGGTCAGATGGGCCTGGCAGGGCCTGCAAAGCACAGGGCGGCTGGGGAAGCTGGCCGCGGTGCAGGGCTTGAGGTGGCACTCCTCAGCAGCAGTGCCAGCTGCACTGGGATTGAAGTAGAGCCCTGGGGGCGGGGGGCAGCCAGCTGAGACTGCTGAAGGCCCCGGGCCTCTAATTCAGCCCCAGAACGGCCACCGCTGCCAAGGAATGCCACTGTGCAGGGCAACCAAAAGGGCAGAAATGGGAGGGGAGATAGGCAGGTGGGGAGAGTTGAAGTGCCCCTGGGGTCGTAAGTGCAATCGGGCTGCCAAGCACCTGAATTTGAATCACTTGACTGCAGGGTTGCTGCAACAGCCATAACTTCAAGTACTGGTTGTAAGTCCCTTCGTTCAGTGCCGCTGTAACTTTGAACAGTCGCTGGACAAGTGGTCATAAGTCGAGGACTGCCTGAAGAAAGACACAATACAACCGGATTGACACGACTCTGAATAGACCACTGAATGGAACAATAGCTAGGGAATCTGTGGAGATTATATAATTGATTTACTGAATTAATTAATAAATGAGTTACTGAGGGCTGTTAAGGTCCTTCAGGGCGAAATAATATCCCTGGGATCCCACTTCCGCTGCATCAGTTTACGTGGGATTTGCATCTGAGAAGCAGCAGCCGAGAAAGGCCGGCCAGATCTCTCTGCCAGGCGGGATTAGTGAGGCATCGAGAGGGTCCCTCTGCCCTTCTGCATCTTTTGGGCACAGAGCTGAACAGACGTAGCCATTGATGTCTCTGACGGGCCACGTGGGATGACATTTTACGGAAGTGGCGATCCATCCGAAGAGCAGAGAGACAGTAATCCTCTCATTATGCATTCCTTCAGTTGCGCCAAGGAAGGTCAGCAACGTAGAAAATGCTTCATGCAGAAAAAAGGGTCGCGGAAGAGAAGAACGTCTGAATTCCACGTCTGAATTCCGAGACGATCAAGTGGCACTCGGTGCACGTGGCAAAATTGCGTAGTCTGCTCTTGGGTATTTAGGCTTCAGTAGTCTGTAGTTCCTAATGAAGCATTTTCTTGTTATATCTGCGTGTCCTTGGCCACCAGGAAGGACTGCCAGTTGCAAGGGAAGGTGGAAAAGGGCAAGGCCCAGGCATCCAGAGGGGTCAAAAAAGTCAAGGCGGCAGCCGCCACCGTGCAGTTCTGAACCCTGCCCTTTTTCACTCTGTGCAATTGCAGATGCCATCTTTATTTTTGTGACCTAGACACGCCCCATGGCAGATACCCTTTGTCCTTCCCTTTTAAAGAGCAAGGGCAACAACCTTGGTCTTTGCGTAAGAGCCGTAGAATTCAGCAGGCGGTCAGTGGGGCTTTTCCGGGTTTGACTGCTGGGTGCGGTTCAAGGTGCTGGCTGTTACCTTCAGAGCCCTAAATGGCAGGCGACCAGGGTGTTTGCAGGACCGCCTCTCCGGGAGGGTATCTGCCCATTCCCCCAGGCCAGATGGGTGGAGTCCGTCCATCTTCTGGATAAATTGGGCACCTCGCATAATTCTGGATCCCCTCTGTTCTAAAGAAGCTCTTTTAAAACTTTTGTAGACTTGAAAAGGTTTTATCTCTGTGTGGTTCTTGGTAATCTGGTACTTGTTCTTAGGAGAAATTGGTCCTAGCTGTGTTGCTACTTAAGAAAAGATACAGAAGTCAGAGGTTTGGGAGGAATCAATTAAGACTCCTATGCTATGGATCACTTTTTATGGGAAACTGGCATTGCGGTGGTGAAATTGGCATTAATTATTTATGCCACATATGGAATAAAGAGTTTGCATGGCCTGTACTGGTAAATTGCTGGAAGGTTGCTTTGAGCTTAAAATGAGGTTAATAGAACCAAAAAAACGCTGCCAAGGTTGAGAAACACTGCTATAATGTAACATTATACAACTTTATGGAAGGAAAAATCTACACCTGATTTGCAGGAATGGATTGTTGACATTTGAAGTTATCTTTTTTTTTTTTTTTCAAGAGCAGGGAGATGATTTTTGAGCACCCTGGTCAAATTTTGACCAAAATGATTCGTTTCTGATGGGATTTTCCAAGCTCTTCCCTCTATTATTTATCTTCTAGTAGTTAATGTTGACATTACAGTCCAGCGCTAAGACCGTTATCTGTATATCTTGCCAACGATTTTGTTTCGTAAAGTAAAACCTGCAGAGAAACGGCCTTGAAAGGAAGGAAGATGGCCAAGCACTTCTGAATCAAAGGGGTTGTTGTATTTCTGGGTTGCGCGGAGGCGTTTTGCATGGCGTCCTCCAGGATCGAGAGTGGCCGAGATCAGCGAACGTACCGGTCTTGATTGATGCTCTTGGGTCAGCTCCATCGCCGTATAATGTTCCTTTTCCATCCCTGGGGTCTTGTTGCTGAGAGATCACACGAAACCTTCCACTCACAATGGCAATGGAAAGGAACCACGTCAGCCGATGCAGCGATACCTACATTTAATTAAAAAGACCTGCAGAACTGCAAAGGAAGCCCTGACAAAAGAGAGAGGTTACCTTTGTTGCTGGCCTGAAGCGTATCAGCTTCCCAGAGATGGAAAGCGTTTTAGGTTTCGAGGGTGGCTTTGTTCCCCGACAAAGGAAGTCTGTTTCAGAAGGGGTTTTTGCATTTCTCCTGCAAGACAAGCACAGGCTGTGAGCTATTTTGGCTAGAAATTAGATTTGTAAGGTGGTTTGGCCAATTCAAAGGAGCAAGACCCCGGGGCTCCAGATTTGTAGAGAATTTTGAATCTTGGGGAGACCCAGGGAGAGGGAGAGTCTGCTCTTTCTTGGTCCAGAGATGGTGGGGAGGGGGCCTTTTCAGCGTGGGGGCCCGTCAGGTGGGGAGGGGCTCTTTCATAGGTTCAGACATGCTCCCCTCCTCTTGGATGAAGCAGCGATGCAACGCCTCCACACATGTTGAAAAAACCCTGGAACATCACCCAGAAGCACCCTTATCAATGCCAGAGGAAGCCAAAGAAGCCGAAGACCTTGTCAACCAAGTAGTCTTCCTTAGAACCTGGGAGCTTGGTTTTAAATGTCTTCGGCTTCCTCTGGCATTGATAAGCGTGCTCCTGGGTGGTGCTCCAGGGTTGGCAGGCTTGGACTTCTCCCGGGGATGACCCACCGGCTGATCAGCTCACGGATCCCCTAGAGTTGCTAGGCAGCCCTTGGGCCAGAGGAAGACTCCTGTAGCACTCCTGGGTTGCTTCTTTTTAGGGGCGAGAACCTTGAGTTATTGCCCGAGAGGAAAAGGTTGTGTTGATCCCATCAGTGGCCCATTTGGTCTTCCTCAAGAGAGGAGGCCTCCAGGCAGCTTCTACCCAGGAAAGCTATTCCTTGGGATTCAGCAGGTGTGCCTCCACTTCTGATGGCATCCCTGGAGGAAGTGGCTTCTGAAGCTGAGGACCCTTCTGAATTTCCTCCTCCCTTTGCTGGGCAAAGTTGTTGTCGTCATCCTGTTCCTCCTCCTCCTCCTCTTCCACTTCAGCTTTGTTTCTTCTTCTCCTCCTCTTTTCCTCTTCCTCTTCCTTCTCTTCTCCTTCTCCTCCTCCTTCCTCGCCCTCAGCTAACTTCGTTTCTCCTCTTCTGCCTCCTGCCACAGGCCATGAAGAAGATGTACAAGGCTTGCGTGAAGTATCCCGACTGGAAGCAGAAGCACAACCCTCATTTCAAGCCCTGGCTGTACCCTGAGCAGAACTCCTTGGCCAGCCTGGCGCTCTCGGATCTCTCCATCCAGCACGCCGACTCCCTGGAGAACATCGACGAAAGCAGTCTTCCGGAGACCAAGGAGGACCGGGGCGAAGGCAGCGACGAGGACAGCGTCAACTGAGGGCGGCCGGCCGGCCGGGGGCCTGTGCCACCCCCCTCTCTGACGCACCCACCCACCTGGGCTTCTTCTTGTCTGTGTAACTAGTGTGCTGGGAACAGAGGGGGGCAGGCGGGCCTCACACGCCCGGTCCCAGGACAGGATTCTCATCACTGGTCAGTTAGTTCTGGTCTGGCAGGGTGGGATCACGCAGCGAGCAGAGCTTTCGGAGGAAGGCACCCAATGCGATCACTTTGGCAGCGCCCACTTCACTTTCCCCAACAGACCTGGACGCCCCTCAGCTCCTCTCCTCTTGTGGCAGGAGCTCCTTCTGCAACTGGCTCGTCCCTTTACCGCCAGGGGGAAGCAGAGCGGGATCCTTCTGTGGGTTCCCTCCCCCTCCAAATCAGATGGTGAGGGAAGGGCCCAAGCTTTGCGGGGCGGCGGATAATCCGGAGGAAGAAGGGACCTTCTCCCCGTGAAGGCGTCTGCTGCTCCCTGAAGGAGTCGGCGAACTCCCTTGGCAAATGCAACTGGCCTCACAAGGGAGGCAGCAGGGGGTCTGCGGGGGAGTGTAGGTGTGGAATAATCGGGCCGAGCCCCCCCAGCAAGACGCTGCAGCCTTAAGCAGAGGTATCCACGGGGTGGGTCAAGACGGCAGCCGCGATGGTGCAATCCAACTCTGCCTGTCTTTGATGCGCATCACACATGCAATCAGAGCTTTGAGTGCCCCATCGCGGCTGCCCTCTTTTTGACCGTGCCCTGCGGATCCCTCTGGCCTCATGGAAGGCGTTGGCTGTGGGATAGAATCACTGCACACTGACTCCCAGCATGGCACGTCTGCTTGCTTCCTTGTAGTGCAGAGACAGGCACGAAATTCCACTTGCCTCTTGGAGGAGAAGGCTGAACCGCGGGGCTTCCTCTGCAGGGAAGGTGGGGCCTTTTCAGGGGGGCGAACCCCTTTCCCACTGCTCGTCTGCAAGCGTCTGGCCGCGTTCTGTGCAGCTGCTGTAAGCTTTGCCCCCCTCCCTTGTCCTGGGCAGGCCCACCAGCAGAGACCTTCTAAAAGGTCTCTGGAGTTCGGAGGGCAGGCCTTCTGCCGGTTTCTGCCGTAATCAGCCCCCTGCTTTGACCCTGTCAGTTTCAGCTGGGCCCTAGGTGAGAATGGTAGGGACTGAGGAGCACCAAGGAGCAAAAGGCCTTCTGTGCATGCTCAGGGTTATGTAGGGAGAAGGAGAGTCCACCCTGTGCAGGACATCCCCAGGCTGGCCGTGCAGGAGCATCAGCTGTGATCCCCGTGACCTCCAGGGCTCTTGGCCAACGGGCAAGCGAAGCTGCAAGAGATGAAGGCAATATGTTCTCGTGGTCCTGACCCAGCAGAAGGTGCCCTCTGCCTGTCCCACTGCCAGGTGTGCCATCTCCGGTAGCAGAATAACATTTCCACCCCAAATTGGTTGCCGCTGAACAAGGCGAGCCCTCTGCTCTGCTCCCCACAATTAAATTGAGCTCTGGGGGAGCAAATTCCTCTGGATGAGCTGCCTGCAAAGCAAGGGGACACCTCCCCTGCCAGACAGTCTTGGGCCAACACAGCTGGAAGGGCAGCTCTGAGCAACCAAGCCAGCCTCTCCACCCTCTTCCTTCATTTCCGGGATTAGTAAACGCTCTTTCTTTGCTGGGGAAACCTTGTCTGGTGGGGGAGCCACTACCCTGGGGAGTCTAGCAGCAGGAGATGTGGGGTGATGCTTTCCACGGGGCCCCCTTCTCTCTCTCTCTCTCTCTCTTGTTGCCCCCCTCCCAGTCCGAAAGGCTAGTAGAACAAGAAAAATTCTTTCTGGGCTGAGATTTGACTAGCTTTAAATTGTGGGGTTGTTCCTGTAGCTTTCAGGGGTTTGTTTCCCTAAGGCCCTTTTGCATTTCCAGGGGGGCAAAAAAAGGGGGGGATTTCATATCTTGTTACTGGAGCCATTTGTTTCAAAATAAAAGGAGTTCAAATTCTCGGAGTGTCTTGCTTGCGAAGAGATGGACAGAACAGGTTGTCCTGGGAGGTCAGGAGCACAAATCCCGCAGTGAGCCCAGGATCCAGGTGGATGGCCTAGAAGAACTGAAAGGCCACGGACCTGTCATGCTGTCCGATGGTTTGCCTCTGATGCTGGGCTTTCTGTCTTCCCAAACAGACCAGTATTTGTGGATTGTCTTTCCTCCATGATTTTTCTCTGAATTTTATGAAAACAAGCACACACACAATGCTGACATCCCACTCCCACCTCAAATGATTTTTAGGGTGTGAAAGTGCTCAGCAAGCCACTCTCTGCCCAGGATTCCCCTCGTGCTCCTGCTGGTGTGACTCATTTGCGAAATGGCTAGCCCCCAACCATGGTTCATGCAAAAGCAGACAATGAGTCTTTCCCAGAAGGCATCTCTTAGGGCAACCTTGCACCAAGAAGGAACTAAAGACCCTAGCTGAATCAATCTGGGGGAAGAGGACCAGTTGGGAACAAAAGATTGTACACGGCTGTAGCAGATATACGCTCCACCTAGGGATATGGGGATTGCTGAACCTTCACTTGGGAACATGCATCTTGTGAAAGGCCAACAGTTCCCCGATGTTCCAGATGTTGGAATCCCAACTAGGATGGGAATCCATGATCCGACTGTGTTAATGTGGACACTCTCCCAGGGTGGGGGCTTCCCAACCAGAATGACTGTAGCCCCATTCATACAACTTGTAGGTTCCCAGGTTGAGGAAGGCTGGTCAAGAGGCTTCCTGCATGGGCTAGGGTCTTTTATGCTATCTGCACTTCTTCTTCAAAGGGGGCAAAATTGCTTACAATTACAGGTAGACCTTGCTTAATGACCACAATTGGGACTGGAATTTAAGTCACTAAGATGTGGTTGTTAAGCATATCATCACATGACTGGACCCAATTTTACAACCTTCGTTGTGGCAGTCATTAAGTGAACCATGTGGTTGTTAAGTGAATCACATGTTCCCATTGATTTTGCTTGCTGGAAGCCAGCTGGGAAGGTCGCAAATGGTGATCATGTGACGCTGCAACCATTGTAAGTGCAAGCTGGTTGCCAAGCACCCAGCTTGCAATCATGTGACCATGGGGGCGCTGCGACAGTTGTAACTTTGGGCACAAGTTGTAAGTCATTTTTTATCAGCGCCACTGTAACTTTGAATGGTCACTAAATGAAAGGTTGTTAAATGAGGACTATCTGTAAAGTCAGTTTTCCTGCGTTTCAAACCTGGGTGATAACTCTTTTATTAATGTAAATGGAGAATCCCAAATAACCAATGAGATGTATATCCACCTTTCCTCCTAAGATCCTCCAGAAGAGTTGGGAATGGGAAGAGTTGGCACCTCATTACGTATGGATGGTGTAGATTGGGGAGGATGTCTTAGATAGTAGTGACAAAATAATGCAAAACCTATAGGAAGAGTCATCAACGTATGGAATGAGCCAGGGTCTGGAAACTACAGAGCAGTACAACAGAAATGTAGAAGGCAAAGTTGTCATCCACCCCTCCTCCACACACAGCCCACATCTCTGCTTTTCCCCGACTCAAGTCCTGCCAGCAACTGTGCAGGTGGGAAATTACGGGAGTTCTAGCACGTCGTAATGGGAATTAGGAATAACCTTGAGGAACAGCCAATAACCTTGAGGAAGAGCCGATACCAAGGCAACGGTCAGATAAGTGAAATCTGAGTCAAGGCAGAAATATCATTTGAGAGAGGGTCTCAGACATGACCCTCCCTAGTTCCCATAAAACAGATAAGTGGAGGGGAAGCACATTCAGACTTGCAAGATTCTGTTATGGTAACCTTATAATAAAAGTATTATCAGCCTCCATGACTTTGGTTTCCTAGTCTGGTCTACTGCGAAGGGCTGACACATCTGAAGGTCCCTATATTGGGGAATGTTGCTCTGCAGAGGGCCAGACCATCTGATTCATATCTGGAGCTGATTTTAGGGGGTGGAATCCAGTTCAACTGATCCACCCAAACGCTTGAAAAGCTCAAAACTGAAAAGACTCCAACACATGACAGATCCCTCATTAGACAAATGTGCACAAATTTAATTCAGAGTTCTGTAATATCAGCAATCGTTGAAAATTTTGTAAGTGTCTGCCTGCAAAACAGATGACCTACAAGAGCCCTGGACTACAATCTCCATTTTCCCCACCAGAATGCTCATCCCTAAAAATAAGGGGGAATTAAAAACCAGCATGAGCCAGGGGTGGTCACCTCTACAAAGTGGAACTGCTGAGAACAGGGGCAACCCAGTCTCTCACAACCAGAGTGAAAACCTTGGGTCGATTTATCTTCAAAGCGTTTATATAGTCCAGTAGGTAACCGGGGCTCCTGCACTGGAGAATGCAGATTTCTGGCCAAAGTCTTCTGGCCCAATTCAACAAGCAGAAATTGTAAAGGGTGTGAAACAGCGTCCTCTGCTGTCTCCTTTCGTGGCAAACCCTGTTACTCTGCTGGCAGTTTTCCAGCTAGGATGCGATGCCATGGGAGCAAGGGGGGAACCCTTAAAAAGGCTATGATCTTCTTCTTCAGAGAGAAACATCATATGTCCGTCTGGCAAAACCCACCTATTAGCAGCACGCTCATTGTCCAGCTCTTACCTAACTGGAGTGAGCAGCAAGCTGGTGAAACCACAGGTCTGGGTGTGTGCGTGTTACGGACGGAGGGGGCAGTGGAAAGCTGCGCTCGCCGGTAACGAAAGGCTGATTTTTATTTGGGGGGAGTGGTGGGGCATGGGGTGGAGAATCTGGGGTAAGAACAGGGGTGGTACCACCTCTCTCTCTCTTTCTGCCCACCCTGTAGGACCTCGGTATCATCCAGCAGGACCCAGGTCTTCTCTGTTGCAACAACTGCCCTCTGGAACAGCCCCCCTAGAGACTCACATGCCCCCCCTTAAAAGAGTGTTAAAACTGGCCCTTCCCCCAGGCCTGGGGTTAGGATGGGGTAGGGGTTTGGTCTGTTCTTATCTCTCTGGGTGGAGAGAGAATAACTGGCTGATGGTCCTTCCAGATGATGCTTTGGGGAAGTATTTCAACTTGTTTTTATTCTTTATGCTGCCCAGAGTTGTTGGAATCAGGCCACCTGGAAATCTGAAACATAAACTAAGAAATAAACCCAAAACAGGCGTAGTCTCACCCCGCAACGTTTGCTGGAGCAAATCCTACTGTCCTTTACGAGTATCTTTTAAGAGCAAACTAGGGTGCCACTACTAGAAATGCTGAACTAGTTTGTTGCAACGGTCTCAAGCATTATATGCAATTAAAAATACACACACACCTTAGAGCAGTGTTTCTCAACCTTGGCGACTTTAAGAGGTGTGGACTTCAACTCCCAGAATT